TCCCTGATCCCCTTTACTAAATATTACCTGCTCACAAATCCAACAGATCGTCAGGTCCCAAGTACCATTCGTCTCCATTCACTCCTATCTAACACGCTCACGCAACGCTTGCTGGAAGTCCAAGCCCCTCGCCCACAAAACCTCCTTTACCCCTCTCTCCAACCCTTTCGAGGAGGACCCCTACCTCTCCTTCCTTCCCCTATAGATTTATATGCTTTCCATGTTCATTCTACTTTGATCCATTCTCTCTAAATGACCAAACCACCTCAACTACCCTCTTTCTGCCCTCTGACTAATGCTTTAATTAACTCCACACCTTTTTCCTAATTTCCACACACTGAATTTCTGCATAATATTTACACCACACATTGCCCTTAGACAGGACATCTCCACTGCCTCCAACCGCCTCCTTGCTGCTGCATTTACCACCCAAGCTTCACATCCATATAAGAGTGTTGGTACTACTATACTTTCATACATTCCCTTCTTTGCCTCCATAGATAACGTTTTTTGACTCCACATATACCTCAACCCACCACTCACCTTTTTTCCCTCATCAATTCTATGATTAACCTCATCCTTCATAAATCCATCCGCCGACACGTCAACTCCCAAGTATCTGAAAACATTCACTTCTTCCATACTCCTCCTCCCCAATTTGATATCCAATTTTTCTTTATCTAAATCATTTGATACCCTCATCACCTTACTCTTTTCTATGTTCACTTTCAACTTTCTACCTTTACACACATTATATCTTCTATAATAATAACCCTACCATACACCTTACCAGGTATACTCAACAGACTTATTTCCCTATAATTCTCACAACTCTCTTTTGTTCCATTTTGCCTTCGTACAAAGGAACTATGAATGCTTTCTGTCAATCCCTAGGTACCTTCCCCTTTATCATAAATTTGTTAAAAGCACCGACCACTCTAAAACTATATCCCCACCTGCTTTTAGCAGTTCTGTTTTGATCCCATCAATCCCAGCTGCTTTACCCCCTTTCATTTTACCCACAGCCTCTTGCACCTCCTCCACACTTACATCTAGCTCTTCCTCACTCCTAAAGGATGTTATACCTCCCTGGCCAATACATGAAATCACATCTTTCCTCTCTTCATCAACATTTAATAGTTTCTCAAAATATTCCCTTCATCTTCCCTTCTAAAAACTCTCTCTATTCTGTTTTTAACTATCAAATCCATTCATTTCCTAGGCTTTCTCAACTTATTTATCTTGCTCCAAAACTTTTTCTTATTCTCAGCAAAATTTGTTGATAGTAACTCACCCATTCTCTTATTTGCTCCATTTTTTTACATTCCCTTACCACTCTCTTAACTTTTCCTTCTCTCTCCATATACTTCTCCCTCCTTAGATCACTTCTGCATTGTAAAAAACCTCTCATATGCTAACTTTTTCTCTCTTACCACTATCTCATCAATCCACCAATCGCTCCTTTCTTTCTCCCGCACCCACCCTCCTATATCTACAAACCTCTGCTGAACACTAACACTCCACACCTCTTCAGCCTCATTATCAATACTCTCATTAGCCCATTTTTCTACCAACAGTTGCTTATATTTTACCCTAACTACCATAACAGATAGTAGGAATTCCTGTCACAACCAGTGGATTCAATAAAAGGCTTCACTTTAATATTGTACTTGCATCTGACCATAGTAGATAGATATGGCTATAGTATAACGTTATTTTAATAAGAAGATACATTAGAGTTACAACAGTAGGTTAGCAGTGAATATCGGTGGAGATGCCCACAGAACTAGGACTCATACTACTAATATGAAAAAAAAAAAAGGTAAAGTGTCGGAATACTACCGGCAGATTTACATTAGTACCAACTTGAAACACTGTATAATTTTCATTATACTCATGAAGACGTGAAATCTCAAGTTGCACTGACTGGCAAGAAAGGAAATATGAATTGCTCATTATCCTGAATAGTGAATCGAGCCCAATAGGGCACCAAGGCGTTCATCCTCCATTAAATATAATTTACATTTTAAAATACATATGTGGAGAGGATAAAGAAAAATACTAATAAACTGATTAAAATTAGTTTTTCTTTTCAGAGACAATAAATGGGACAAATTTGCTTAGCAGAGCTATGTAAATATTTGATGATACAGTAAACCCTCAATGTAATGTACTCAAAGAGGGGAATGTCTGAGTGTGTGTTAAATCAGAATAGTGTTAAAAAAATACATTTAAGTACAGCGGACCCTCAGCTAACAATGGCATCACCTTACGTTAAATCCAGCATACAATACATTTTAACGCAAAAATTTTGCCTCAGCTAATGCTAAAAAAACTCGCCCTACGCGAGCGTGCCTCAGTTGTCCCATGGGTGCCAGTGTTTACAAGCCAGCCAGTGCGGTCGCATCCACGCATACAATCGGAACATTTCATATTATCACAGCATTTTTAGTGATTGTACCTGCAAAATAAGTCACCATGGGCCCCAAAAAAGCTTCTAGTGCCAACCCTGCAGGAAAAAGGATGAGAATTACTATGGATATGAAGAAAGAGATTAAGGAAATGTGTGCAAAGTGGCTTGAAGTGCAAACCTTTATGGATGAAAATCACCCTCACACAGCTATTGCAAGCCGTGCTGGTGACTATTACAATGACAATGTTGTGAACCACATTAGACAAATCATAAAGGAACGGGAGGTACAGGCCTCTATGGACAGATATGTTGCGCGACAGAGGTCCAGTGACTCTCAAGCTGGTTCTAGTGGCATTAAAAGAAGAAGGGAAGTAACCCCAGAAAAGGACTTGATACCTCAAGTTCTAATGGAAGGGGATTCCCCTTCTAAACATTAACAACTTCCATACTCTCCCCTCCTCCCATCCCATCAATCATCACCAGATCTTCAATAAAGGTAAGTGTCAGTTTGTGTGTATTAAAATTAATATTTCATGTGGTAAAAATTTTTTTTTTTTCATACTTTGGGGTGTCTTGCACAGATTAATTTGATTTCCATTATTTCTTATGGGGAAAATTAATTCAGCTAATGATAATTTCAGCATACGATGAGCTTTCAGGAACGGATTAATATCGTTAGCTGAGGGTCCACTGTATTCTACTGTGTAATTAATATAGTACTGTACTCATAATTTACAGATTTACTGAAATAAACGGTAAAAATAAAGGAGTTAAGTGTACAGTTTACACACTGGATTATTGCCCATTATTTAAAGTCAGTGACATTGAGCTCTACTGTAATACAAAAATCATATGCAGTAAAAGACAAGACAAAAATCCTGTGGCACTAAATCTCTACAAGAAAATTCGGACAAGATGAGCAAACTATTAATAATAAATGGAACATGGCATTAATACTGATAATAACCACAGAGAAATGGGAGAAAGAAGAAAAAACTCAGAACAAACATCACGTAAATATCAGTGTGTAATTAGCATAGCACACAGAGAAAAATATACAAGTGTTTTCTAACTACAGGCAGGCCCTGATTATACAGCAGGTTAGGTTCTGGGCTACTGCTGTAAAGGAGGGTCCCACTTATGCAGCAGGTTAGGTTCTGGGCTACTGCCATAAAGGAGGGTCCCACTTATGCAGCAGGTTAGGTTCTGGGCTACTGCCATAAAGGAGGGTCCCACTTATACAGTAGGTTAGGTTCTGGGCTACTGCCATAAAGGAGGGTCCCACTTATACAGCAGGTTAGGTTCTGGGCTACTGCCATAAAGGAGGGTCCCACTTATACAGCAGGTTAAGTTCTGGGCTACTGCTGTAAAGTGAAAATTGTTGTAAAATGAAACATAGCCTATTTTTCACTTTTAAATGCATATAAAAACCTGATAACATGTTTACACTATCATATATTAGGTGAACAATAGAGCTAGGCCTACAAAATGCATATACAGTACACACATTACTTACCTTAAAATATTTTCGTCCTTAGCTTATAGTGAGTGGTGAATTTATTTGCTGTAGTAAGTCTGAATTAATGAAGACGGGATATAATTAAAAACTGCGGCATTAGCAAAATGCTGTAAAGCAAAGTGCTGTAAAGCAGGGCCTGCCTGTAATGAAGTAGTGAGAAGTGCAGAACTATTCTGAAAAACTTCACAACAGCCTTTAGATATGGACAGTGAAATGCTACAAATGTTATTCACAAAGAATGATAAACAAAAACTTAGAATATGCAGCTGTAATGTGTTGGCCACACCTGAAACCTGTTGATAAAATAAAGAGTCCAAAGACATGCTACAAAATGTACAGACCAGAAATGAATTACTGTACATAGAAAGCTTGAAAACAATATACATGCCTTCAATAACAAGTAGGACAAAAATAGGAGACCTAATAACCGAAGACAGGATTCTGAAGTGGCAAAAGTAAACAGACAAAGATGGTTTTCTAGTGCCATCAGAGAACAGCCACAAGTGAAAATTATGAAATAAAAGCTTCCAATATGATACCAGAAAGCAATTTGTCACAAAGTATAGTGAACCGCTGGAATGATTGAAGACAATGTGAGGCAGTACAATAAGCGCTGCAAGCACAAATAGGTTCAAAAATTGTATGATACTGAAAATAGATTACCATGAGAGAGAGAGAGGAGAGACAGAGTGAGTGAGATAGAGTGAAAGGAGAGTGACACAGAGACAGAGAGAAAAGATACAATAAAATTCTCTTTGTGCCCATGTGCAACATTCACAGTCTGGTGTATCACAGTGAAGAAAGCTGTGCTTGTGACTGCTGCATCCAAGCACTACAACTGTCAATCAAAGTTGTGGTAAAGTAAAGCATGCAGTGTAAACTTAAGGTAGTGAAGACAAAGAGAAAAGACAAAAAGAAATAACCACAAATAATATAATCCATATACAGTAGCAGAATGCATGGCAAGTGATGACGATAAGCACACTTATATTTCAATCATCCATAAACCAAAGGGAAATGATGAACCATATCTAGGCCAGTAATATATCATGCTTAATGATTATTTACCTATTCTGCAATATACTCTCCTGCCTCTGGATGCAGGACAATGGGCTGTTCCTGAATATGAAATGCCTCATTACAAAACAGTATGAAACAGCCTTGACTACATATTAAATACAATAATAGTATACATCAACCAATACAATATTGGATATACTGTCAACCCACCAAAAAAAAAAACCAAGTAGGTTAGTACAATGAGTGTTGAATAACTACATTACAGTACTGTATTAGTAAAATGTTACCAATATTTATTAATATCAATTAATAATGTATTAAGAAATATGGAATTATTGTTAATAGTATTAAGAAATATATAGGTAGTAAAAAAAAAAAAAATAGTAGTAGGTTGGTAGACAGCAGCCGCCCAGGGAGGTACTACCGTCCTGCCAAGTGAGTGTCAAACGGAAGCCTGTAATTGTTTTACACGATGGTAGGATTGCTGGTGTCTTCTTTTTCTGTCTCATACACATGCAAGATTTAAGAACATAAGAACGAAGGAACACTGCAGAAGGCCTACTGGCCCATGCGAGGCAGGTCCAAGTCTCCTACCGGCTTAAGCCAATGCACCCAACCTAGTCAGGTCTAATTGCACATTTTTTATTTGCCCTAATTTTTTTTGGAAAGTGACCCCTTTAAAAACCTGAAAATATTTTTAAAATTTAAACATTTTTACATGAAGAGAAGGGAATTTTGAGGGGGGATTTGGATTACCCAACCCGAAAAAACCCTTTTTTTTGTCTTTGAATCCTTGTTTAAACCAAAAAATTTTTTTTTTTAATTTTTTTTTACCCCTTTTAACTTAAAATCATTTTTAATTCCCCCCCCCTTTTTTGTTTTGCCAAAGTTTTTACCAAAATATTTTAATCTTTTTTTTCCCCTTTTTGGGAAAATTTTTTGTTTTTTTATTTAACAAATACTAGATAAAATTCCCTAAAAAGGTATATCCAAATAACCTACCTCCCCTTATTCGGCCCCGTTCGCCATGTTTTTTATTTTAAAACCCAAACAACAGGGAAAACTTTCCATTATTTTTCCAAAAAAAAATTTTAAATAATTTATACTTTCCCCACCAAAACCCAAGATTTTTTAATTTGGGTTTTACTAAAACCATAGGAATTTTCCCCAAATTTTTTAAAAATTTTTAAAAAAAAATTTGGATGTATAAGAAATATGAAAATTTTGAAAATTGTCCAAAAACGCATTTTTTAAAATTCCCATTAGAAAAAAATTTTTGAAAAAGGTTACGAATTTGTAAGGGGTTTTCCCCCCCATAAGTTTTGGGCCCTAAAAACCAAAAAAATTATTTTTCCCGGCCCGGGAAACGAACCAAACGTTATCAAGTTTCAATTTAATATCTTGCTAAAAAAAAAAGCCGAAACAAGCAAACCCACCACCCCCTTTCCCCCAAATAATTTATCCCTTTTTTTAAAAATTAAATTTTCCTTCTTTAAGGGCCCCTTTTTTTACAAATTTTACCGCCCTTCTAATCTTCTATCTAATTTTTTTCTTTTTTTCCCCCTTTTCCCTTTCTGGGGGAAGTTCAGAATTTTTCAACCCTTTTTTAAAGGGCCAAACAAAAAATTCCCCCCTTTTCCTTTAAATAAAGAAAAGGGTTGTTTTTTTTTTGGGGTTTAAACCCCCCTTTGGGGATCCTTTTTTTTAAAAAAATTTTATATAAAAAATTATTATTTTTTCACACTGGCCGATTCCCCCAAGGCAGGGGGCCCGAAAAAAAAAATTCACCATCATTCACCCCCCTTTTTTGCCAGAAGGGTGTTTTAACACTACAGTTTTTTAAAACCCGAAAATTAACACCCCTCCTTCAAGTGCGGGCACGTACTTCCCATCTCCAGGACCAAGTCCGCCTCGTTTCCCTGAACCCCCTTTATAAATGTTACTTTGCTCACACTCCAAAACGCAAGTATTAAAAAACCTTTGTTCCATTCACCCCCCATCAAACGCTCACGCATGCCTGCTGGGAAATCCCAAACCCCTCGCACACCCCCTCCTTACCCCCCCCCCCCCCTTTCCAGGGCCCCCCCCCCCCTTCCTTCCATCAACTGAACATCTTTGGATTTTTTTTTGTCCCCCTCCCCTTTCCAAACCCCTCAAATTTTACCCCCCCCCAAAATTTTAAAACCCCCATCCTCCCAATTAAAAACAATTCCTGCATTAATTCACCCCACATTTTTCCCCCTCTCTCCCTGCCCCACTTTCCCGCTCAAAAATTTTTTTTAAAAAAAATAAAGCTTGGGAAAAAAAAACTTCCCCATTCCCCCCTTTTTCCCCCAAGGAAAAGTTTTTTTTAAAACCCAAGGACCCTATTTTTTTCCCCTAAAAAGATCCCCCCCCTTTATGAACACTTGCACGTTTTCCCTTCGAATACTTACCCCTCCCCCCCTCCAATTAAAATTTTTTTATATTTTTTTTTCCTCCAACCTTATTTTTTCCCTTTTATTTTAATTTTTTTTTTTCCCCCCCACCAAAATCCCCAAACCCCAATTTCCCCAGAATTCCCCCCACTGTCATCCAAAGGCAAACCCCCCTTTTGGATTCTTTTTTTAAAAACCCGCCAAACCCCCCGAACTTTTACAACCCCTCTTTAAAAATTTTCAACCCGGGCCCCCTTTTCAAAACCTTTTTATGGGAAAAATTTTTCCCCCCCCCAAAATTCCTCCTACCTCGTAAAAATTTGGTGGGGCCCTTAAGGGAAAAAAAAAGGGAAAAATTTTTCCCCTAAAAGACCTTAACAGGATTTTTAAAACCTGGGTTTTTTTAATTTTTTTGGGTTTAAGGAAAATAAAAAGGGGGTTTGGAAAGGGTGGGTTTAAAAAATAAAAAACCCCTAATGGGGGTTTCAATTCCTTTGGTAGGGTTTGGGATTCGAAGAAAAAACAAATTTTATGTTTTTTAAAAAATATTAAAATGACCCCCCTTTAAAATTATTTTTTTTTAAAATTTTAAATGATACTTTTTTTCCCAAAAAATTTTAAAATTTCCTTTAGCCCCCAAAAAAAAGTAAAAATTTCAAAAAATACCATTTGCCCCATTGGGGGGGGGTCGTGGGTCCATTAAAATTTTTTTTTTCCTAAAACCCCCTTACAAGGAGGGTGGAAAAAAAAAAAAAATTTTTTTAAAATTTTTTTCCCAAAAGGGGGTTTTAACCCCCTTTCCCGAAATCCCCCCCAAAAACTGGTTAAAAACTTTCCTTTTTTTAAAAAAAATCAAAAAAAAATAAAAAAAATCCCTGTTTTATATTTTTTTGACATTTAAATTTTTTTCCTAATGTAAAAAATTAAAAAAAATTAAAATTTTATTTTTAATGGAAAAAAACCCAGAATCCTACTCATTTAAAAATTTAACTTTCTTTTTTCCCTTTCAGGCTTTGTACCCCTTTTTTTCGTTCCAAAAATACCAAATAGGGGAAGGAAAACCCCTTAAACATGAAATATAACGAATTTATTAAATTTAAAAAACTCACTTAGGGTTTTAAAATTTTTTGGGGAACAAGGCAAGGTTATTCTATTCTCGCCCAACTGTAAAAACTACTTTCAGAAGCCCCAAATCCCCGCAAAAAATAAAAAAAAATTTATGGGTTTCAAAAATTTTGCAAAAATCTATTTAAAAGCTTTTTTTTTTTTTTCAAAAATTTTTTCCCCCCTCACATCAAAAAAGGGCCCAAAAAAACAAAACCATATTTGGGGTTTTTAAAAAAAGAGGTGAAAACAATTAATAAGTAAAAAAAATTAAAATTTGGAAAAAATTTAAATCAAAAACTTGTTTGGAAAATTTTTGGGGAAAGGGAAAAGGGGGGGTTTTTCAATTTTGGGGTTGGCAGTCCGGGGGTAGAAAATATGTTTGAATTGCAAAGGGAAAAATTTTTACTGGGGGGTTGGGCAAAACTTTATCTATGAAGAAAAGGGAATTTTTCGTTTTCCATCTTTTTAAGGGGTTTGGGGGTTTTAATTTTGAAAAAAAAGGTAGGGTTTGGTTCCCTTGGGCAAGGGGGTGGAAAAAACCCAAAAAATTTGTTTGGGAGATTTAAAAAATAAAAAAATTTTGGGGGGGGTTTAAAGGGTGTTTTTTTTTTTTTTTTTTTTTTAAAACCCGAGGAGGAAAAAATGGCTTAAAATTTAAAACATGGGGAAGGGGGTGGGATTTCCCCGGAAAGGTTAGGGGGGGAAAAGGGGGGGGCAGGGGGGTTTAAAACTGTAAAGGGGTTGACGGGGCAAGGGAAAAGGTTTTTGCGATACCTGAAAATCATTTATGAAGGAAGGGGGCCGCACCAAAATTTTTTTAAAAGTCCCCACTTAAAAAGGGGTGTTTTTTGGGCCCCCTGTTTAACCCCGAAAAGGGGGTTAAGATAAAAAAACTTTTTTTACCCTGTTTTGGGGGGGGGGCCAATTTTAATAAAAAATAATAAAAATGCATAAAACATACATTTCGTAGATCATCACTTAAAAACCATTCATCTACCAAGGGACTAATTTCAAATATGTGCCACTTACCTTATATTTGCCAATCTTAACTACAAATATATGCATTTTACCTCATATTTGCCAGTCTTTCTAAATTTCCATTATGTCATGCCTCATGGGGAGTATCTGAGAGTGCAGTGGCAGAATAAAGCCACTGTACTCATTAAAAATGAACATCATTGCCCTAATAATATTCATAAATCTCACCACAATTACTCTACCACCTTCCTTTTTCATGATGCTGCTTGTCTTTCCGATAAACTAGCACTGTTTAAAGAGTACAACTATAACAAGCCTAGCTCGTAAACAACAGAAATTAATATAAAATTATAGATACTGTAATTACTTACATTGAACAATTTCAGAATAACAGTACCTTAAAAAGTCCCAAGAATCCCTCCTCTTGACTGTAGTGTTAAGGCAGTCAAAGAATCCTTCATAGCGTGTGAGTATAGGCTTCACCTCATACCCTACATCAAGACTGTCAATAATTGTGCGAGTACCTTGCATGTGGAGTCTGTGGAAAGAATTTACCTGTTCAGACACAAACATTTATCTACAGTGTTTACATAATGCTGCTACAGGAGGGCCCCGCTTTACTGTGCTTCACTTTATGGCGATTTGCTAATATGGACATTTCAAATTATACCCAAAAATTTATTTATATGGCTCCTGATTTGCTATTATGGTGTCCACAAGTCACCTGTCCACTCTGTTTATATCCTTTGTTAGCTTTGTGTCTCTCATGATTCTGTCTTGAAACTTTCCAAAGTTTCAAGTGTTTTAAAGTTATTGTGTCATAAGGCTCTTACTTTAAATGAACTCTAAGGAGAAAGTGTTGCAGGAAATTAAAAGTGCTACACCAGTGAACACTAGTTATAAGAAAACATGATAACATTATTGATGACATGGAAAAACTTTTACTGGTTTAACTGAAGATCAAACTAGTCAACATGCCTCTAAGCCAAGCCATTATGCAGTCCAAGGACCTAATTCTCTTTAATGATATGAAGGCTGAGAGAAGTGAGGAAGCTGCTGAAGATAAATTCAAAGCTGGCAGAGGCTGGTTTCATCTCCTGACTTCCTACAATAAATACTACTCACCTCTCACCCTACGTTAAGGCCACAAATATTTTAATTTAAGTAATGAGTGCACTGTATATGCATTTTACTTTTTTATTGTTTTTTAGGCCTATTTGCTAACATAATATATGATAGTGTAAACATGTTATCAGGCATTTATGTGTATTTGTATTTAGAAGTGGGGAAAAAAAAAAGAATTCACTTTACGGCGGGGGCCTGGAACCTAACCGTCATATAAGCGGGGCACTCCTGTATTAATAATTTTCTTCTGAATAATGCATAATCATTCTAAAAAAATATTATAAACCTATGGTACAGTATAAACAAAATGAAAGTCATTTATGAAAACACAAACCTGTGTAGAATAGTCTCCAGTGGATAAAGCAAGACATCAGATGCTAGATGGCCTATAAAAGTTGATTGGAGACGGACAGATGCATCCAAAAATGACCCTGAGTCCTTACTTACAGCACCCTGCAAGCAAGACATAGTTTTGATTGTAGTAACAATAATAATACTAAGTGCTCAACCCACCAGGGTCATACAGAGAGGCCTTTCTTCAAGCAAAAAAAATGAAATTCTTATTGTGACACAGTACGCATAAATTACTCTCGCTCAGTATTATTTCTTTACTTTTTTCTAAATATATATTGTATATTCTTTGGAACAATTCGTCAGTACTGCCACCGAGGCAATTGGTTGAAAAAAGAAAATACTGGTCATGTACTCATATTCTTGTCAGTCACCTCACTCTCACAATATATGTTTTTTTGTCAGCGTCTCCAGAAAGCAGGGTTAGAAGAATATACTTATATAGATTTACCTAACAAACAGTATCGCTCTTCAAACTGCCCAATATACAATATCCCTTCGTAATATAAACCCCGTTTTAAAAAGGTCCAAGCAGATCTATGTTCACATGCTAGTGCTCCAAAAGTAGATCTATGTTTCTTTTACATATTTTCAAATATAAAAAAAAAAAAAAGGTAGATCAAAGTTTTTTTCCCCATTTTCAAATGAAAAAAAAAAAGTTCTTTTTTTTACTAATTTTTTTAACCCAAAAAACCTCCTTTATTCCCCCAATTTTCAAACACCCCCCCCCCATTCCTTAAAAACCCACTCCATGCCACGCCTTCCTTGAAAAAACATCAAAACCCCTTCCCCCTAAAAATTTTAAAACCCACAATTTTCCCCCTAATTCCCCCTTTTTTCTCAAAAATTTTCAAAAATTTTTGGGGTCTCCACTCCCCAAGCCCCTCGCCCTTTTCCCCCTTCCCCCAATTTTATAATAAACCAAAATTTCCCCTTCCCCCCAAATCTTTTTTTGCCCCTCCCCCCCCCCCCCCCCCCCCCCCAAACCATTAAAACTCCCAAATATTAAAAAACATTCACTGTTTCCATACTCTCCTCCCCAATTTGTATCCAAATTTTTCTTTACAAAATCATTTGATACCTCATCCCCTTTACTCTTTTCCATGTTCACTTTAAACCTTTTACCTTTACACACACCCCCCAAACTCGTTCCACAAACCCTTTTGCAATTTTTTTTTTGAATCTTCCATAAGCACTTATCATCAGCAAAAAGTAATGTTAATTTCCCATTTTGTATTTGATTCCCCCATAATTTAATCCCCCCCCTCCCCAAAACCCCGTTTTTACTTCTTTTTAAAAACCCCATTTATAAATATATTTTAAAAAAAAACCATGGTGACATTAAAATCCCTGTCAAAGACCTACTTTTACCGGGAAGTAGCTCCCTCTCTTTACACCCCCCAACCCGACCCTCGCTATCCTCATCAAATTTTTTGATTTAGAAAATTACTACCATTCCATAACTTGAACATTTGCCACTTTGCTCCCTACCCATCTGTCATTGGTTTTAAATCCATAAATGCAAAAAAACTTCCTACCTTTAAAAATTACGTTACTATTGCTTCAGTAAACATTTTGATCACACATCCCTCCCCACTCGAAACCTCCTTGTTCATCCGCAATTCTAATTCTGTCTTACCTCTAATTTTTTCAATTAAAACCCCTACCGTAACTTTTCCCTGGTATACTCGTAAACTTATTCCTTAAAATTTTTGCAACTCTTTTTTTCCCCTTTCCCCCTTTATATAAAGGGACTATACTACTCTCTCCCAATCTTTGGGTCCTTTCCCCCTCTTTCATACATTTTTAAACAAAAATACCAATCACCCCAACACTTCATCCTCCCCTTTTTTAAACATTTCTGTCATGATTCCACAGTTCCAATATTTTTTCCCCCCTTTCATTTACGAAATGCCTCATGCACCCCCCCCCACACCACATCCGCTCTTTTTCACTCCTAAAAGATGGTATATCTCCCGCCCAGTGCATAAAAATTTACTCCCCTCCCTTTCTTCGTCTTTTACAAGTTCTAAAAAATTCTCGCCATTACCCAATACCTCCATCTCCCCATCTATAACCCCCCTACTTGTTTTTAACTGACAAATCCATTCGTTCCCTAGGTTTTCTTAACTTTTTTAAACTACTCCAAAATTTTTCTTATTTTCAAAAAAAATTTTTTGAAGTGCCTCCCCACTCTATTACTTTTCCCCTTTTTGCACTCTCTCCCATTCTTCACCTTTTTTTACTCTCCTTCTTGCTTTTTTATAACACTTTGCTTTGTAAAAACCCTCATAAGGTACCTTTTTCTTTTTTATCACACCCTTTCTTCATCATTCCCCCAATCCTCCTTTTTCCTCCTGCCCCCCCCTCTATAACCACAAAAATTTGCCCCACATTCTAATACTTCTTTTTTTAAAATTTTTCCAACCCTTTCAACCCGCCCCCCCATATATATTTGAACTAGCCCATTTTTCCTGGAGTTTACCTGGAGGGGGTTTCCCGGGGGGTAAAATCCCCCCGCGGCCGGTTGTCACCGGGCCCCCTGGTGGATCAGAGCCTGATAAACCAGGCTTTTTATGCTGCTGCTGCAAAAAAAAAATTGAGCCACACCCGGGCTGGTCGGAAACCGACTTTGGGTGCTTGTCCTGCCAGCTTGAAGACTGCCAGGGGTCGTTGGAAACCCCCTTTATGTTGTGGGAGGCAGCTGAACAGTCTCGGACCCCTGACCCCTATTTATGGTTTTTAAAACGTGCTAGTGACCCCCCTGCTTTTCTTTGGGGGGACGTTGCCCCCGTCTGCCAAGTCTTTTGCTTCGTAGTGAGTGATTTTCGTGTGAAGTTGGTACTAGTCCCTCTGGTTTTCCAGATGTTATAATCAGTATCTCTCCCCCCTGCGTTCCGGGGAAACGGGTTTTCAGGAACCCAAGCGCTCCCAGAAATTTAGGTTTTTTATCTCCGTTATGCGCGCCGGAGGTTTTCTTGTAATTTTCTAGGCAGCAATTTCACCTGCCTTAAAAGGTGCTTTAGTGTGCAGCAATATTCCAGCCAGATAAACAATGCCCTAAAGGGAGGTCATCATGGGCTTGGACCCCCTAGTTTTGAAGGTTCTCATTATCCTCCTGTCATTTTTCTGCAGATGTGATTGATAAAATGTTATGGTCCTTGAAGGGTGAGATCCTCCGACATGTCACCCCAGGTCTTTGACGTTGGTGTTTGCTCTATTTTGTGGCCGAATTTGTTTTGTACTTGAGAAGATTTAATTTCCTGTGTTTACCTATCGAGTAATTAAAATTTTTCAATTTTGAATTTTATATTTTTTTTTGCAGCCACTGAAATTTTGGGTTGAGTCCGCCCGGGGCCCTTGCAGTGTCTGCAATGGAAGACACTGTCATGCAATTCGGGTGTCTCTGAAAAGGAAGAACGGGCTGTGGCTGACATCCTTGTCTATGTCAGTAGAGGTGAGGAACAAGAGGGGAAAGCGAGTACTGTGCCTTGGGGAACAGAGTTTTCACCATGCGCCTCGGATTTTATCTGTTGATACTACTCTCTGTGTTCTTTTAGTGGGAAAAATTTTTAGATCCATCGCCGACTTTTCCTGTTTTCCTTTAGCAGCTTTTGTGCGCTTTTTTCGCCTGGTCACACTTGTCAAAGGCTTTTGCAAAGTCTTATATATTACCCCTGCATTCTTTTTGTCTTCTAGTGCATCGGGCCCCTTTTTTCGTAGTGACCCAATAGTTGAGACAGACGGGGAGCGACTGTTCAAAAAACCCCGTTGCCCTGGGTTTGAAATTTTTTGGGTTTTTGAGGGGTGGTGATTTTCCCCTCTTAGGACCCTCTCAAAGATTTTTATGATATGGGATGTTTTTCTATGGTCTGTATTTTCTTTGCTGTTGCTTTACTGCCCCCTTTGTGGAGTGGGGCTATGCTGTTTTTTTTAGCCCCTTGGGACGCCCCCCGGTCCAGCTCCCTCCCCATGGATGGAAAAAGCTCGTGATAGGGGCTTCTTGCATTCTTGATGAACAGGAGTTCCATGAGCCGGGCCCCTGGGCAGATGGGGGCATGCTTTTAACGCCTTTTCAAAGTATTTGGCATCGGGAAAAATCGTGGGTTGTTTTAACCAAATTCGGGGTCTCTCATAAAAATTTTTTTTGATCTTAAACTCTCAGTCTGGTTAGCGGCTTGCTAAAAACTGGTCATATTGGGAAAAGAGTGCTCACCCATTTCCTTGCTGTATCTGGTAGGACCCTCTTGTTTAAGTAGGGGCCCAATACAGGGTTGTTTCGACTTTGATTTGGCATAGAGAAGAAATCTTTGGGTTTCTTTGATTTCTTTATGGCTTTTAGGTCTTCCCGCGTTCCCTGATCCTATAAGATTTTTAGCTTTTTCGAGCTGCTATTTTCTTGACCCGTTTCTCCCTACGCTTTCGATATATTGACCTCTTTTAACCCCTCTGTTATTCTTTTCCGTGCCTGTAAAGGAACGCCCCCGTTCTTTTTTTTATTTTACATTTAGGTTGGTAGACAGAACCACCCAGGGGGGGTACTCAGTTGCCTATGACTGTAAGCGGAAAACCCGAAAAAGTTTTGCTGATGGTAGGGTTGGGTCCTTTTTTTTCTATAAACAGCTAATTTGCAGGTATCTGCTACCTACTTACACTTTTGGGCACCTTTTACAGACAGGCACATGCATATATATATACATACATCTAGGTTTTTCTCCTTTTTCTAAAAAAGCTCTTTTTCTTTTTTATTTCTTCTATTGTCCCGGGGGAAATGGAAAAGAAACTTTCCTCCGTAAACCCCGGTGCGTATGAGGCGACTAAAATGCGGGAGCAAAGGGGTAGTAACCCCTTCTCCGTAGACATTATAAAAATGAGAAGAAAAAAAACTTTATAAAACTGGGATGCTTGAATGTGCGTGGGTGTAGTGCGGGCAAGAAACAGATATTGCTGAGTTTTTAATGAAAAGAAGTTGGTGTCCTGGCCCTAAGCGAAACAAAGCTGAAGGGGGTGGGGGGAAATTTTGGGGGGGGGAAAAAAATGGGATTAAATTGGAGTATCTGAGAGAGTTAGAGCAAGGAAGGGGTTTGCGTAAAGTTGAAGGA